ATGTTGATGTTTGTGTTTTCTGATGGGAATGTGACTTTGTGTGACACTGGTCACAAATGGAGAGCCTCTTCCATTCAAATATAACAGTCTTTCCTGTTTTATCATACAAACAGAAAAACTATTCAATTTATTTATGATAAAATGGGAGTGGAATAGGAATTTCCTTGAAAACTGTAAGTTTACATCAAGTTAGAGGGACCCTAGAAAAAGTGATAAGGATGAAAATCAAATATTGGTTGCCACTTATTTCTTTTCCCCTATTGATCTATACTATTAAACTTATATTTATTGCATACCTGAAAAACAATATTTAAAAAATTAAAATAAAAAAAGAAAAAGGCGGCTTTCAATTCCACTTTACAGTGTTATCTAAAAATATTGTAAGAGGATTCATGCCCATTAAAGGAATAAAGCCATAAAGTAGAAACTGTCACTTATAATCTCAATGCAAAGAGACAAACACCATTACATTTTAGCATATTTCACCCATGCATATTTCCAGTCTTTGAGAGTCTTTCAACCGCTTACTGAAGGACTACTATAAGCCAGGCACTGAGTACTCAAGACAAGGTCCCACACTCAACAAATGAGGGCAGGAGGAAAGTAATAGGAAATTATAAGAAAAGAAGATATTCACCACACTAGTAGCATGCAGCTGGCTGGTCCAAATTTCTGTAGATGTGCTACAATTTACCTCTACTATACTCTTCGATGAAGCTTTGAGTCTAATTTCTCACCATTATAATCGACACTGATGAACCATCTACCTTTTTTTTTTTTTTTTTAATTGGTGCTGGGAACTGAACCCATGGCCTTGTGCCTGCTACACTCCTACCCCTACTCTTATTTTGAAATAACATTTAATCTTTTCTAAAGTAAAAGTTAACCATGCTCACTGTAGAAAATACACAGTGGTATAAAAACAAAATAAACAATCATTCATAACCCCAGAGAGCTGCCACTTGGATGTTTACTCAGGACCAAAGACAAACATGTGACAGGTATGGATTCCAAAGTCCCCACTGGAAAAATATATATTGTCCTTTTAAAGATACTGAGAAATTTCTAGTAAAAAGGAAACTTGGCTAGAAGTCTAACAATTGGTAAACAGATAAAGTGTGCTACTGCCATATAATGGGAAACTGTTATAGTTGTAGATCTAAAATGTCCCCCAAGCCTCATGAGTTCAGAGGTGGGGTTTTTGGAGGTGACTGGATCAGGAAAATGCTGTACTCATCAATGGATTAATCTACTGATGAATTCACTGCTGAATGTGCTATTCGGAGGTCTATCAGAGGTCTGGTTGGAGGAAGTGGATCACTGGGGAACTGGCCAAAAGAGTATTCTTACCCCTGACTCCTACCTCCCCCCTCTGCTTCCTGGCTGCTATGAGGTAAACAGCTCTCCTCTGTCAGGCCCTTGTGCCATACCATTTCTGCTCTGTAGCCAGCCAACCATGGACTAAACCCTCTGAAACTGTGAACCAAAATAAATCTCTCCTTAAAACTGTATCAGATACTGTTCCAGTGACAGGAAAAGGACTATTACAGGAATGAAGTAATGATACATGCTATATATAATGCAGATATATTCCAAGATATTATGCTAAGTGAAAGGCACACAGAAAAGATCAGACCACAGATCCCATTTTGTATGAAATGTCCAGAAAAAGCAAAAAGACAAGAAGTAAATTAATAGCCACCCTGTGCAGGTGAGTGACTGCAAATGGTCACAAGGTTTCTTTCTGACGTGACAGAAATTCTAAATTTGATCATAGTGACACTGCACAGCTCTGTACATTTACTAAAAACCACTGAATTGTAAACTAAAATGGGTGAGTTTTATGGTATGCAAATTGTAATAAAGCTGCTTTTTACAATGGAACTCGGTTCAATGGATGGCATTTAATTCAAAGTACTAAGGAATGACTGCCCATTTTCACCCCACCCCCAAACACCTGCCTTTACACACAGCTCATTGTTAACCACACAACATTCTCTTGCCCTGGCTCAGAACTTCTGTATCATTAACAGTTTCTAAATGTCTTTGTTGCTCTTTTCCCAAGGGCAATTTATGTATTCTTTTCCCATATAGATCATACTTCATGTATTTTCATTATTGTTGGTTACAGGTAGTTTTTTTCTTTTATTCTCCTTTGATAGAGTGAAGCACTGATTCCCATGTCATAAATTTGTATTTTTCAAAAAACCATGAATTTTAATGACATATATTCCATCTTGTAAGACGTACCAACTTAGACACTTTCCTTGCTGCCAAGACAAAACACCCAACAATCACAACTTAAAGGAAGAGAGGTTTATTTTGGTTCACTATCACTCACTAACTAGTCTGTTGGCTTCAAGACAGACACAGGATAGCACAGGGGCATGGTGAAGGAAAAGGTGCTCAGAGCGGGGAGGGAGATAGACCCTTCCAAGTCACGTCCCCAGTGACCACCTCTTCCAACCATGCCCCACTTCCTAACAGCACATTTAGCTATGCATTCATCAGATTAATCCACTGATGAATAGTGTTCCCATGACCCAGTCACTTTCTAAAAGCCTCACCTCTGAACACATGAGATTTTAAGAGGTCATTATAGATCTGAAGCTTAACACATACTATGGTATGACTTACTAAATCCCTACTGTGGATGTTAAGCTCCATCTGACCGTTTTTCTATAAATTGTGATGTGGTGGTCAATTTTTGGATACTGTTAACAGTGTCCGATGGGTGCACACAGCCCAAATATCTTCGACACCCCGGACATCTCTCCTCACCCAGCAACACCTATCAACCAGCAACACCTCTTGCTCGACTCCCCATCATCTGTAGAATCTGTGCCCATCCCTCAGCCACTAGCTAAGGCCTCTACTCCTCCTTGATGGAGCAGCCTCCCTGCTGGCCTCTCCATCTCATCTTGACTTCTAGGACCCTCCTCCATGGTCTACCACCATCTCACCCTGAGAGACAAACAAAATCATGTTTGCATGGAGATGCTATGGTTTGAATATGTCCCCACAGTTTATGTTCTGAAAACCTAATCCTCAGTGCCACACTTGAGAAGCAGGACCTTCAAGGGGTGATGAGGTCATGAGCGCTCTGCCCTCAAGAATAGATTCATGCCATTATCGCAGGAGTGGGTTAGTTATCACAGGAGTGGGTTCCTGATAAAACGATGAACTGGAGGTCTCTTCTCCTTATTCTTCCTCTTGTTCTCATTCTCTCTCTTCTTCTTTTCCACCATGGGATTAGAAGAGTGAGTATATAGCAAGAAAGCCCTCACCAGAGGTAGCCACCTTGACCTTTGACTTCCCAGCTTCTAGAACGCGAGCCAAATAAATTTCTGTCCATTACAGGTTATCAAGTCTATGGTATTCTATTATAGCAGCTGAAAACGGAAACAGAGGGTAAAGTCTTTCAGTGGTCCTGGGTGTTGGGATCTATCCCCAGTACCTCCACACACTCCCAAGCCCAGGTGCCTCCCTAGGGACTGGCCACAAGCCCAAGCCTTCAGGTTCTCTTCCTTTGGGGCCTGCACTAGAAGTTCCCTCTGTCCCAACTCTCCCACCTCCAACTCTCCTCCATCTCTCAAGAGGCATCAAGGGTTTTCAAGGCTCCCCTCAGGCCTCAGGCCTCAGGCCTCAGCCTTCCTCCTCAGTTTCCAAACTCACAGCTGCTCTAGATCTACCATTGTCCTATTTATTGCCATCTCCCTCCCTAATGACAGGGGCTGATTCCCAGGTCCCAGGTGGTAACCAGGGCCTCCCACAACGGACTTCACAGGACTTAAATGGTTAGGGGCATCCCTGAGCCTGAATGCAGACTCCACAGCACTTCCTACTGACTTTCTACTGGGGAGTCGTCAGACCACACCTATAAAGCACCTCCAAAAAAAAAAAAACACCTACAACCCCAGGCCACACCAATGTTAACACAATACTTAAACCTACAATAATGCACTAATTCCTATCTAGTACAACTTTGTATCCCTCTCCCTTTCCACAGTGCTGCCTGCTATACCTTTTCCCCTCCTCTAATCGCATCAAACTTCCAGCAGTCTCAAACATTTCAATCTCTAGTCCTCCCCCTACGATGTCCCTCCCTCCCAGACCCTCTCCATCACCCTGAGTATGCCAGAAGCCTACTCTCCACCTTTTGCAAGGGTGCCACCACAACCAAGCCACTCCTTCAGGAGTTACGAACTTCCCACTACCTAAAGAAATTTAGCTCCCAGATTTATGGTTACCAAAATATTGTCCCCAACCCCAGCCAGTTTAAACACCCAGTGGACATTCCCCTAGTCACGTCTAACATGAACTTGCTTTGCTTTCTAACCTCAGACCAAGCACAGCACCTCAGAGGCAGCACCTCAAATCATCTCCATGACTGAATGCACATCTTCGGATTCTCATGGATGCTCCCTGATCCCATCCTCACCCACCAGTCTGAGCACTGGATAACAGGAGGAAGTGGTCAGCACACCTCCCCTCACATCTGGGCTACTGTACCCCAACCTTCCCTACACAAGATGTACACTTTTCAATCCCTTCACAATCACTCTTCAAGCTCTGGCAATCCAAATCTACCTGAAGGATAGGAATATATGTATGCTTCTACCTGTGTAGATTCTGGAAAGGGACAAACAAGAACTGGTAACAGAGGTGGCCTCCAGACAGGGGAGATAGATTTTTTATTTTTTACTTTTGGTGGAGCAGGAGATTGAACCCAGCACTTCACACCAATCTTTATTCCCAGCCCTTTCTTGATTTTTGAGACAAGATCTCACTCAGTAAATTGCCCTGTCTTGAATGATCCTACCCCAGCCTCCCAAGCTACTGCGATTACCTAAGTCACAGCACCCAGCAGATACTTATCCTAATCCCTGAAGATTCTCTGTACTTCTGTATTTTACTATGTGCACATATTCCCTCACTCCCCTCCTCAAAAAATAAGTAAACAAAAATTACCCTAGAGAGTGCACACAAGAACAACTTACCACTGATTTCTTCTCTTTTTCGTTTTCTCTATCTTTATCTACAAAAGAAAGGAAATCAACTTTTAGACTCAGTTTTAAAAAACTCACTCCTCTCTGTACTAATTTGCTAAAAGACCACAAAAACAGTAATTTTTGTGCTTGCTCCCTGGCCTAAAAATGCTTTCCATTCTCAGGACCCTCCGTGGGTAGAGACAGTGCACTTCATCCACCTATGTGTGACACCATGCAACTGGGTCGCACACGTAAATCTAGCCTCAAAGTGTGCTCAGGTTTTTTCACTTGATATATTATACATTTATTCCTCGCACTGGGTCTTCTCAGTGGACATGCAGAGCGGCCTGCACTCAGCCGTCCAGAAAAGTGGGAAGGAGGCTTGGATTTGGGGAGGGGACCCAGGCTGTTGCGCCAGGCTGGGTAGACAACATGCCCACCCAACTCACAGGTGTTTCTGAGGCGCCATCGAACGCCACAGCCTGGCCCATTTCTTGAGGGGGGGGGTAGGTCCTCACAGCCAGCAAGGGTCAGGGGCCGCCAGGAGCCTCACTTCGCAACACCACCCCCTGGGACCAGAGACCCCGAAGGCCCGTCAAAAGCAACTCCCAGTCCCCACTGGACCGAGGCCAGGGAAGGGGTCGGGGTCCCAGGCCGGGGCGGAAAGTCCAGAGCAGCCTCAGCCTGTGGGGTGGGTCCTACCGCTCCTCAGAGTCCCCCTCCGCGAACCAGAGGGAGAAGCAGGCCTCGGGCCCCACCCGGTCCTGACTGGCTAGCGTCAGGACTGCAGCGGACGACCGCCCCAGCCCCGCGCCGCACCCCGGGGAAGTCCCGCGCCGCGGAGGCGGAGCTTCAGTGTCCGGCGGTTCCGCGAACGGGGGCGGGGGGGGGCAGCGGCCCCCAGGGAGACGAGAACTACAAGGTTACAAGGTGAAACAAAGGCTTGAGTTACCCGGAAGCCAGGCGCGGAGCTGCGGCCCGGCACCCGAGGCGGTGCTCGCGGGGCTCCCCGGCGCCACACGGCGCAATACCCGGGAGATCCAGCCCCGTAGCGACCCCAGCAGCATGGCGGGGCGGCGGATGCACCTCCCCCTTTCTTCTCCGGCGAGTCCCTAGCCGACGCCGCAAGCTCCGCCCTGGATCCTGCTGGGGCGGCCCTTAAAGAGCCCCTGCCGCATTCCATCCTCTCCACCACTGTACTGATTGGAGAGGGAGGGTTTGCGGCTCGCGGCTAGCAGAATGTACTCCTGACTCCGCAAGACCGAGAAGATGGGTGGCTACTAATCACAGGGACTGATTGGTTCGTGAGTTATTGCAGATCGAGCGCCCTATCCCGTCCACAGCGGGCACACACCCACTCATTAAGTCATGGATTCCTCCCACCAACCCAGCAAGTAAAGTAGGAATTGTCACTCCCGTGCTGAAAGTTCCTCCTCGATGAATTGAGCAGTTTGCTCAAAATGGCCCTGGGTTTGATCCCCAGAACTGCCCAAAGGGGTTTGGGGAGTGGAGGTGGAGTTCAAACCCCTCTGTTTTGCTTCTCGGCCCTCCTTCTCTTTACTCTGGACTTTGCAATTTCTAGGGTCTGGACTCTAATAAAATTGGAGATCCCTCAGGCCGGCACAACTGGTATTCCAACTGGACGGACAAACGGGAATACAGCCAGAACCTGTAAGTTGCACCTGTTGCCAGGGAGCAAGTATTCATCCCAAATGTAGAGCAGACGGGGTGTTATAAGTCATATGGCCAAGGCCAGTTACTCCAGCTGTCGCATCTTGACTGGATGTGAGTTCCCCTGCGCAGTAGAAGAGTTTCCCACCTTTCCTAGGAGCGCAAGATGCTGGCAGCCACTTTGGGGCAGAGAAAAGGAAGTCATTTTCAGTGTTAGTGCTATAGGAGAAAATGTAACTCCCAACCTGTTAGATGACACATACGCTGAGTTCGTATCCCCCAAAACCGAAGGCTGAATTTTAAGGAACAGAGGTTAAGAATAGGAAAGATTTATTGAGAGATAGCCCCTGAGGGGCCGAGGGTTTAGCTCAGTGGTTCCGCCGCCTGCCTCACAAGCACAAGGTCCCGAGTTCAATCCCCGGTACCAAAAAATTAATTAATTAATTAATTAAGACTCTTCTTTGGGCTGAGGCTTTAGCTCAGTGGTTTCGCCGCCTGCTGCGCAAGCGCAAGGACCCAAGTTCGATCCCCGATACCAAAAAAAAAAAAAAAAAGATAGCCCCTGAGAGACAGGAGGGGACCCAAAAGTGGGTTGCCACCAAGACCCTTTGTCGGGGTAATTTATACAGCAAAGTCACAAATGTGGGTACAACATTGGTCAAACTATAATCAACCAATAAGATTACAAGTATAGTCATTTAGCTAATATTGATCCAATAGGGAAGTGAGTCACGTAGCAAGGGTACATGGAAAGAATAGAGGCATTTTTGGGAAGGAATGGGTCAGGATACTCTGGGCATCCACCTTGGTGACTCATGTCTATCTGGACTTAAACGACTGGGTGGTACCAATCATGTTATAATCACAAATTTCCATCTATCCCTTAGGGAAGTATGCAAGTCTTGCTTTTTTCATATGGGCCTCCAGGCCCAATTCTGATCTCCACCTTTCACTGACTTAGAGCCCAGTCCCTTTTTGACTGTATAGTAATTTCTATCTAACTTAGCTGCCTACCTTATTGACTTCTAGATCTGTCACCTGAAAGGCCACCCCTCCATCTTGTGCCTATCTGGCACACACCTAGCAAGGACAAATGTTCACTCCGTATTAAATAAACTTCAAATTAAGGTGAACATTTTTGCGGGTGACCTGGTATAAGGCTGTTGAAGGTAACTGCTGATCACTTTTGGTGGAATGAGCCGCCTGCTGCGCAAGCGCAAGGACCCGAGTTCGATCCCCGGTACCAAAAAAACCCCCCAAAAACAAAAACCACATTTGGTGGAATGAAATGGACTGGGATGGACAGGATGCAAACAGGTCCAAATGGACTAAAGTGATGGCCAAATTATCCAAGGCAGAACATAATTCATATAAAAGGAGTGATACATACTTCATATTCCTAAAAAGAAGCCCCCTAAAATGGTGCAGCTCTGCACCATTGAAGCACTTATGAAAAACATGAACTGAATTCAAGAATCTGAAAAAACTTAGGCTGTTCTAACTCTGGAAAAACTAACACCAGAGGGAAGTAAAAGTAAAATTGTACAGAACTAACAGGTTGACCCAAGCTCAGGCTACACACACTCTATAACTACAGGACACCAGACCCAGGGGAACTTTCAGAGAGAGAAACAGACATGTCCTTGCTTTTGTGGAATTTTATTCCTTTTTTGTAGCCAATATAAAAATTATACATAATATTTGCATTATTATTTCTTTGTACTGAAAATCTTTTTTTCTAGGTTTTGTTTGTTTGGGGTTTGTTTTGTTTTGTTTTGTTTTTGCAGTACTGGGTTGAACCCAGGACCTTTGCACTGAGCTATGGTCTCCAGGCCTCTCATCCTTTTAGTTTTCAACATGGTCTGCCTGGGGTGGACTCTACTTTGCTATAGTCTTGCCTCAACCTCCTAGAGTGCTTGGAGTAGAGGCTGTCTTCTAGTTTTTAATTTCTAAACAGTATATTATCATTCTCTAGTCGCCATAGTGTGCAATAGAACACCAGACCTTTCTAACTATAACTTAGTGCCTATTCACCTTTTCCTATGGAAGTGACATTCTTATGATGTACATCAGCTAGAGAGAAATGAGGGCAGTGATAGTGGCTACTCTAGACAGGATCACCAAGGGAAATTCCACAGAGGGAATTTCCCTTTCCCTCTGGCCCCCTCCCTTGCTCCAACCCTGCAGTTGCTTCAGGACTAGAAAGCTGTAGCTCTGTGATCATTAGAACCCAGGTGGAGCGGGACAGGCTAAAAGACGAAAGACAAGTGGGTTCCCTGTCTAGCTGAGCTTGCGCAATGTGGGCAAAGCGACCCAGGAACCCAGGACGGTGGGCTCCTTCCGTAGAGCGCAGGCGCACAAGGGCGGACCGCGGCACGGCGCGCATGCTCGCGCGAAGGCGGGAAGCCAGAGGGCAGTAGACTGGATCTGCAGCCCGGGGCTGTCTGCGCGCCGGGCCTGCCTGCGCGCCGGGCCTGGCCGGGCTGGGTCCTGAGAAGGGTCGAAAGGAGAGGTGTGGCTGTTGGCTCTGAGAACGCGATGGAGACTCAGTCGCAGCTGAAACCAAGCCTTTGGCCCTTCTGCTTCAGCGTGAAAGGTCATGTGAAGATGTTGCGGCTGGTGAGGGTTGGGCCGGGGCGAGGGGGCGGAGGTTGGGGATCGAACGTGCTATTAAGTGTGGAGGCAAATTGCCCGTTTCAGGGGCCGTGTCTTTTGTATTGTGGGTGGAGGGGTTTTGATTTTTGTTGTTGTTGTTTGGTTTTTTGAGACAGAGTCGCGCCATGTAGTCCAGGCAGTCTGGAAACTCGCCCCTGTGTATAGCTCAAGGTGGCCTCCACAATCCTCTTGCCTCAACTTCCCAAATGCTGATGGTACAGGGGTGAGCCACCACAACCGGCTTGTCAGTCTTGTTTTTCTCCAGGCCTCCCCAGAGACAGGACCTTCCCTTTGGGCCTCTAGGGGAAGCAGAAGAGCCATAGGGCAATTTCCTCCTCTTATGAGGATTTAGGGACCCATGTATCAGACAATCCGCACATTTACCTGAATGGCCTACAAGGCCTGTGTCCAGATTAGGAGGCAAGGCAGCTGCATTTGTACCACTAAGAAGCCAACAAAATAAAAGAAAACTCTTTAAGAATTTTGTGGATGCTACCGTTACTTAATATAAATCAGACATTTCATCTGACTGAGTTCAAGGGTAATATAAGACCAGAGCAAGGACAAAGAATGAACAGCATGGCCTGTTTAGGACTTCAGGTGTACCAGGAGCACTGCTGTAAATTCTGAAAACAGCAGTTTGGAGGAGGATGGGAGGGAATCATCCTTTGGATTTCTCTAATTAGAGAACTGAAATTTATCAAAGGGAAGGAAAAAATTAACTTTTAAATTTTAAAGAGCTGACCTGTGAGAAAGTTGAAGTAATTAAAAGTTACAGGAGAACATGTCCACATAATATTAGGAAGAATTTTATATTGAGAAGGATCCCAAAATTAAATGGTCCCTCGGGAAGGCACTGCATTACCAGGTAACAAAAGTAACAAGCACAGATGAGCATTTGGTGAGGATGTTATAAAGGAAATTCAAACTTTAGATGAGAAAGTAAAACAAATTGAATATACGATCATTCTCACACCAAAAGTCTGTGATTCTGAGAAATAGTTATAATATAATACAAGTTAGGATGCATATGAGAGGTTTATAAAACCACTCTGGAGTCAAAGGAAAGATTACCTTTGGTTAGGAGTAAGTCATCAGGGAAAAAAGTGACCTGAAGGTCTGAGATTTTATACTAGCTACTGAAAGTTCAGGAATACTAGAGGAAAAACAAGATATTTTGAGAAAGTTTTGTTGTTCACATTACTTCCTTAAACAAACAGTCTGAATATTTAATGTCTTCCAAGCTCTGGGGAAGTGCGTAGAACAGTGATGAAACCGGGACAGAAGCCCCTGACTCACAGAATTCTTCAGTTACACACACAGAAGCAGATACAATGAAGATCAGGCCCAAAAATCTAACCAAGGGAATAAAAAGAACTGTTAGAAAACTCTTCTGAGAGGAATCTAGGGTGATATTTAAGAGGCATGATCAAAGGTAATGAGGCAAAAAAAAAAAAAAAGCATGATGTGTTCAGAGAACTGTAAGAACTTGAACATTGCCACATTTCTTCATTTATCAAATATCTGTTTAATGCCTGTCATCTGCCAGGTACTTCTCTAAGCTCTTGAGAGAGAGCAGTGAACAAAACAGATACCTCCCCTCACTCCCATAGTAGAGTTTATTTATTGGGATGGAGGGCAGGGGAGACAAACTCACATTAAATAAACTGTGGTATTCTGGGAGTGCTATGGAGCAAGAGAAAAATAAAGCCATGTAAGGGACCATAAGAGCAGAAAGGGATGGAGAGAAAGATTACAGTGATAACTGATCAGTTTAGGCCTTAATGAGATGACAGCAGAGAGTTCAGTGAGGTCAGGGAGCTAGCTGTGAGAATATGTAGAGAAAGAGTTTAAGGCAGAAGAAAATCCAGTAATGCCCTGTGGAAGGAAGGTGCCTAAAGGAGTCAAAACAGCAAGAAAACCAGTATTACTGGAGTTGAGTGAGAACACACGAGGTAAGAAAGATTTTGGGTAAAGGACTATATAATCTAACTCAATTTTTTTTTGAAGTACACTGAGTTCTGCATTGACACTGAGTAGATTGGTGGAGGAAGGAGTGGAAGAGATTGCTGCAAAGAGGCCAATTAGGGCTATTGCAATAGTCTGAGTAAGAGGTAATTGTGGCTCAGACCAGCCACCTAGTGGCTGGTGGTAGCAGAGTAGGTAATAAGAAATTTGGGATATGCAGGTCCTTCGTCCATTATCCAGAATGTTTGGGACCAAAGTATTTCCAATTTTGGAAATGAGATATCTTTGGGATGGGGCCCAAATCTATCATTTCTGTTTCATATATAAGTACCTTATATACATATCCTAAAGGTATTTTTCTATAGTATTTTTTTTGGTACCAGGGATCAAACTTGGGACCTTGGGCTTGCGAGGCAGGCGACAGAACCACTGAGCTAAATCCCCTGCCCTTTCTATAGTATTTTTAATACTTTTGTGCATGAAACAAATTTTTGGACACTGAACCATCAGAAGTCAGGTATGGAATTTTCCACTTGTCATCAATGTTAGCATTGAAAATATTTGAATTTTGGAGCATTTCAGATTTTCAGGTTAGGGATCCTCAAGCTGTATTTTGAAAGTAGCCCCAATAAGATTTGCTGATGAACCAGACAGAGGCCAGTGTACATAATGCCAAAGTGTTTAAGCAATTGAAAAGATTCAAATGCTATCTTCTGAGATTGGAAAGCCTATAAGCCAATATAAGGGGAGGACTAGAAGTTTACTTTTGGATTTCATTATTAGGTTCAAGGTACCTATTAGACATCCAAGTGGCAATAGTGAATAGGCAATTGGGATAAACAAGACTGGATTTTGGCAGAGACATCAGGCTTCAGAAATACATTAGGCGTTTAAAGCCACATGACTCTTGGGGTCATCAAGAGAGGAGTATAGATAGAAAACTGGATTGAGCCCTGGAACACTTCAAAATTGGAGGTCAGGGAGAATACAAAGTACAAAGAAGAAAGGAAGGATTTGGGGAGGTAGGAGAAACTAAGAGTATTTTGTCCTTGAAACTAAGTACACAAACTCTTTGAGGGAGTGATCAACTATGTCAAATACTTATGATAATTCAAGTAAAATGAGGACTGAGAAGTAAACACTGGAATTATCTCCTGGACAAATAGACAAGTCTTTGCTAAAAAAGTATACAGAAGCTAGAATCATAGACATTTCTAAGTATATGATGAGAGATAGGCTCTATTCTAAAGACCATGGAGAAGAATTGAAGGATTTTAAATAGATAACAAATTTGCATTTTAGAAATTTCACTGCAGTATCTTTGTTGTGATAGTTTAAGTAAAAGATACTAAAGAGCAATAATTGTAGCCAGGGATTTAGCTCAGTGGTTCCACCACCTGCCTCGCAAGCGCAAGGTCATGAGTTTGATCCCCAGTACTGCAAAAGAAAAAAAAAAAAAGCTCCAAGAAAATTTTGGGCCGGGGATTTAGCTCAGTGGTTCGCCGCTTGGCTGAAAAGCACAAGGACACGAGTTCGATCCCTGGTACCAAAAAAAAGAGCAATAGTTGTAGGGATGAAGAAGAAGGAATACCAAATATGTTTAGGCATTAAGTCAGCAGGATGTGATTATTCCTCAGCTGTGAGAAGTGAGTTAAGCAGTGGTCTTAGGTTCCTAGTATGGGTCAAAAGGTAGATTGTAGTAACACCAATTGAGGCAGTGAAGGGAGGAGGAAGGAAAGAGCAAGATGGGTTCAATTTTGGCATAAGTTCAATTTTGGTGAATTTGAGATTCCTGTGGATCATCTAGATGGAGATCCTAAATGGCTGCTTAGGTGAATAATGGAAGTAAAACAATTGTATTCATTGAATGGGATGTGGACAGAATCCAGAGGAATCCCAGAATTTTAAAGACGAGGGTAAAAGGAGAGGAGGCCATCAAGAGAGCAGTTGCAGAGAGTAAGAATTAGGAGAGGTGACATAGAAACCAAAGGAGTAAAGAAGTAGGTGAAGGACAGCTGATGACAAGTCATAAGAGTCCAGTAAAATAAGGAATGAAAAATGCTTACTAAATTTAGTACTTCTGAAGTCATTGATATTAACAAAGGCAGTTTCCATAGGGTGATAGGGAAATGCATGAGATGTTAGAAGGGTATTTAAAAGAAAACTTGGAAAGAAGCCCAAAAGCTTAGAAAAGATACAAGAGCTGTAAATATAAATCAAGGGAGAATCCAGTGTGACAGAACCATGAGAATTTTTGAGAAAACGGAGTAGTCACTAGTGCCAATAACCATGATTCAAAAAGGTTACAGAGGCTAGGGACTGAAAAGGGGAGACTTGACTTCATAATCCATGGACTCAAGACCTGAGTCAAATGGAGTAAATGGAATAGTTTGAGATGACATGTTGTTAATAGTTATTATATTATAAAAATGGAGTTATTTAGTAACTAGGTATTGGTAATCAAACTGGCCAATTTAGAATTTAAAGGTGGGATATTTTTATACTAATAAAATTGAAATAATTATGAATGAGTAGCTCTTATAGATTAAAAATTTTAAAATAGTATGTGGGTGGTACCAACTGAAAGAGAATTATAAAAGTTAAGTCACGGAATACTGTTGATAAAACCATTTACCAAGAACACAAAGAGACTTTGGAAAGAGCCATATTTCCTAAAAACATCATGGCATTAACAGAATTCCCGGGAACCCACTAAACATTGCCATATTTTCTGTCTTCCTTTGGAAATGAAGAAATTGGATTAGGTTACTTATCTTCAGGATTTGTTTTTCTCCTAAAATATCTCTGTTCTGATGGCATTGTATTTTTTGTAAAAAAGTTATTTTAGTAATAATGCTGTTAAACATCAGAGTTTTTTCTCTGACAGTGTATTTTAAAACCCACCCCCAGTGTTTTTCTTTTCTTTCTTTTTTTTTGTTTTTTGTGGGGTTTTTTTGTTTGTTGTTTGTTTTTTGTTTTGAGACAGGGTCTGGCTTAATAGTTCAAACTGGCCTTGAAATACTCACTATGTAGTCCACACTGGCCTCAAACTCTTGGCAGTCCTTCTGCCTCAGCCTCCCAAGTGCTGGGATTGCAGGTATGTGCCACCACACCTGGCTTTCCTTTGGTATTTTCCATGGCAACATTCACCTTACATTTGACAGTGATTCAAGATTGCCAAGAGGTAAGGAATGGTGAGTGGATGATAAAACATCATGGGTAGTCAGTATACCAACTTTTTGTGAAGCATAACAAGAAGTAGAAAACAGAACTGGGATTTTGAGGGGGAGCAGTCTGGAAGGAAAGGGTGTGTGTGTGTTTTAAGATAAGACAACTTGGGCCGGAGATTTAGCTCAGTGGTTTCACCGCCTGCTGCGCAAGATCAAGGACCCGAGTTCAATCCCCGGTACCAAAAAAAAAAAAAAAAAGATAAGACAATTTATAGTATGAAGAAGAAAGGAGCTAGCAGAGGAGGACAAAGTGAAGGTATGAGGAAGAAAGGAGATATTTGGTCAAAAAAAAAATCAAGAGAACAGATGTTAGATGATAGTATCAGAAGTTCAAGTGGGGTAGTTACTCTTAACACTGAGAAGGTCACCTAGTTCTCTAAAATACAAAGATGTCAATATCCATACATTTTAGTCATGCTTCTCTGATGTGTATGTGTATGGCAGAAGCTTGCTTAGTTATTTTAGAAATGATTTTTACAGTTCAAACTTACACTCAGTAATCATTGAATAAGTCATGTTTTTTTTTCTTCTAGGTACTAACTGTGACATCTATGATTCTTTTTATTATTGCACAAGCCCCTGAACCATACATTGTTATCACTGGATTTGAAGCCACTGTTATTTTCTTTTTCATAATTTTATATATACTCAGACTTGATCAAATGATGAAATGGTTATTTTGGCCTTTGCTTGTAAGTGTTCAGTATTTAACTAGTCTTTTCTACCATAGTGAGACATTAGATCATCCTTTGGTTCTCTTTCTTTTTTTTTTTTTGGTACTGGGAATCGAGCTCAGGTCCTTGCACTTGCGAGGCAGGCAGCAGAACCACTGAGCTAAATCCCCAGCCCCTTTGGTTCTCTTAAACCTTTAAGGTGGTCTTTGATAGGCTTAAGAAGGAGGAACTCTGCTCGCTGCTAATGTGTTCTGTATTGTCTTTGGGGGATTATCACAGTTGCAGGGCAGCCACAAAACATGAATTCTCCTCTTCATTCCATCTCCCAGAAGATGTGGCTGACCTTTCTGTTAAGAGAATTCACTTTTAGGTCTTCTAAATAAATTTTAATTTTAGGATCATGTTAATTATAGAACATCTTAATCTTTACATCTTTTTTTAAATGCATGTTAAAGTAGCCTCAGAATTGGGGAATAGAGATGGAGACAGGTACACAAGTATCTATCTTTGCACATCTTTGATCACTAATGGAAAATCAGACTAATTGAGGAAGCTAAAGTAGAATGTTATCTTACTTAAAAGTGTCTATAGTTGTTAATACTGAATAATTTAACTTACCTTATTGAATCTTATTTTGTGCTATAGAGACGTCAGCCTCATACAACATTAGAAGCAACTGCCCAGTAGGGTATCCAAATGGCTCAGGAAACTGTCAAAAAGAGAAGGTTGAAGATACTAGTTAAGGTGTACACACCCCTTCCTCCTGGACTAGAGACTAGTTGTAGCAAAAATTGCTTGACTTTCTCTCTTCTTTCAAGTCTTAGTGCAGCTCCTACCTCCATAGGTCTCTCTCCTATGTCACCCCACTGCCCTTTTCCTCTTTGGCTGGGCTGGTTGCTGCCATTCCTTCCTCTGCCTTATGCTCTTGGATTCCAAAGTGCTTATATCCAACCTAATAATTTCTATCAAGAGAAGACTTTAGAGCTACTCTCAAACCGTAAGCATGCCTTAAAAGGAGACCTTTTGGGACTACCTTTTGAGACCAGTGGTGAGCATTTCAGGCTAAGCACAAGCTTGAAGAGATCCGAAAGGGCAAAGCTGGGAAAATAGGATCTTCATAGCACCTCTCAAAATTCCTACAAAATCTGCACTTCAGACCTAGACCTCACTTAGTGGCAGAAAGGGCTAATCTAGATTATTCTAAGGATTTCTTGATCTTTTTTTTTTACTCAAAAAGGTGTATAGTTCCTGTTTGCACTCCCCTTCTCCAGAGTTAATAAAATGAATACATTTTATCATTTTTCTCTAAACTGTAACCATTCTCTGGAATTTCTTACATGTCCCAGTAATGAAATTGGAGCCCCAGATTGAACAGAATACACTGGGGCGGGGTGGGGGGGCTATGTATATGGAAAGGAGTAGTTTCTAAATCTCTAGGCATCAAACTTTGCCAATATTATAATCTCTTAGAAGTAATGCTTGAAAAATTAAGTTATCATAGGGCCCAGGATTTTTCTTAGTGATACCATGCCTGCCTCACAAGTGCAAGGTCATGAGTTTCATCCCCAGTACCAAAAAAAAAAAATTAAGTTGTTGCTCCATTATGAATCTCAGAGTCCTTTCTGATCTTGATCTAATGAAATTGTTCAAATGTTAAGTATCTGCTATTCCCAGATTTTGTAATCTATTTTTTGATAAGACAAAATGCAAATCTTTTGTGCCTGAGAAACTTTCAGTATAGCAAGAAATACAAGAATTCATTGAGTAAGTGCTTGGTAGATGTATACCCAGAATGGTGTGGAAGCACCTAGCCAGAAAAGAGACAAAATGACAATAGCCTTGTGAAGAAAAACTGCCTGAGTCAAGGGCTGAAGGAAGAAAAGTAGTTAGCAACTGACTGCTAAAAGATAAGGCTTTCTCCATAGAAGAAGTAGCATGTGTGAGTCTGGGTGGGGAAAGAGAATGACCCTCCAGGAACTGCAGGTAGATCTGAATGGCTGGGGCATTGAGCTGTGAAAAAGAAAGGCAAGAGTAGAGGCTTGAGACAGTAGGGGGTCAAAGCATGAAAAGGTTTTTCCATGCTCTGGGCTTTAACTCAAAGGCTGATGAGAGAAAGGTAATGGACAGAAAGGTCCTGCAAAATGAAATGGGAGCTAGCTGGAGCAACTAAAGTGAAGGACAGTGATGGCTGAAGAGTCCAAGTTCATCTGTAGGTGGGAAAGAAGTAGCTCATAAGTACTTTGTCTGATGGCCACTGCCTTCACTGGTTAGAAGAGGGCTTGGTCATCTGCACTTAGATTTGTTACTTGTATCATTGTACCAAAGCTGTGGTCCCTGACACAATCTGTAGAGCAGACCTCTATTTCCTTCAAGTGGTCCTTGACAAAAAATATCAAAATTACCCAACCTGGGCTGGGGATTTAGCTCAGTGGTTTCACTGCCTGCTGCACAAGCGCAAGGACCGGAGCTCAATCCCCAGTACCAAAAAAAAAATTACCCAACCCTAGGCTCTGAGACAAAATTTCTAGAAAATCTCCATTTTGTAATTAAATTTACATTCTACTACATGGCATATTGAAGTTTATTTTTTAGCATAAAAACGATATTTTAAATGTTCCTTAAGGATCACTGATGTCCTTAGGCAGATGCATTGTGGTTCTTTATGCTCCCTAGAATACCACCTCTAAAGTCATGAATAGCCCATCTTGCTCACAGGAGACAGGGCCTCCTGGCTGAAGGAATGCTGTGGTCTGTTGCCTTGAAGCAAAACAAAATAGCATGGAGAAGAGTTAATCTAGGATAGCTACTCTTTTTTTTTTTGTTTTGGTACCAGGGATTGAACTCAGGTCCTTAAGCTTTCTGGGCAGGCAACGGAACCACTGAGCTAAATCCCCACCCCAGGATAGCTACTGTTAATATCTCCCACAGATGAGCTTTGTGTCTTCTAAGTGTACCTAATCTTGTCCTACCCCCATTGAACTTCTCTACTTTCTATTTAATAACTACTTTTCTAAGTTATCAGAGTTTTGAACATTAGTATTTCTGTGTTAATTCCTTCCTTCCTACTTATCTGCAAATATGCATAAGCCAAATTGTCTCAGAATAAAGACAGTTTACTTTCCCTCACTTGAGATCTTCCTCAGCCTCTGATGGAGCTGGGATTATAGGTGCGCAGCACCACATGCAACTAAATTGCACTTCTTAAAAGCTGTGGTTTAGGCTGAAATGCTTCATTCTGGAAAATTATTAAATGGATGAGCCATATAATCAGAAGTTACATAATTGGCCACCTTTGTGTATAGACATGTGTGCAGTTATCCTGGAAATTACCATTTTTGCCTTAAGAGTAATTGTTTTCAGTTTTATTACATTTAAGGAACGTAGAGTTGTTTTATACATTTTCTCATACATTATTAAAAATGGGGGAAAAATGGGCAGACTTCCCAGGGTATCCACTGTAGCCTAAATCTTCTACATAATGCATCATTTACTATCTTTCCTAACCAAGTGAATACTCCACCTATATTTATGTTATGTAAAAAAGAAATAAATGCTTAAGCAGTTAAATGATTGGTGTATTATAAATAAAGGGAATCACTAGGTGTCAGTGGAGACTAAATACTATGTAAGTATCATTTTACTATAGCATTTGGGTTTCCTGAATAATATATTTAATAAAATGAAATGTTCAGAACCTTTAAGGAGGGCTGGGGATGTGGCTCAGTGGTAGGGTGCTTGTCTAGCATCCACAAGGCCTTGGGTCCAATCCCTAGCACAGCAAAGAAAAAAAGAAAAAAGCTATAAGGACCTGACCCTTTTTTTGTTTTGTTTTGTTTTGTTTTAGCATTGCTTAGGGAATCTTGTCTCTCCCCCCCACACACACCCTGCTCTCTCTCTCTGTCTCTTTCTCTCTTCCTTCCTTCCTTCCTTCCTCTCTTTCTTGGTTCTGGGGCTCAAACTCGAGGTCTGGGCATGCTAGGGAAGTGCTGTATCACCAAGCTATATCCCCATCCATTGGTGGCCTTTATGTAAAGCTGACCTTCCTTTTCTATGTCTTTAGGATATTATCAACTCAGTGGTAACAACATTATTCATGATCATCATATCTGTGTTGGCATTGATGCCAGAAACCACAACATTGATAATCCTTGGAGGAGTAAGTAGAGGTCTTTCTAGTATCTTCTTCAGGTTTGATCAGAATACATATTTATTTGGGAAAAGTAGAAAGCTGTACTATATTCATCCTTGGGGCTCCTAGGACAGTATACAGTACTTTCTGCCCTAATATTTGTATAAGCGACTGCATCCCCTGATTAACATGAAGGAATATGATTTTTCACTAGAACTGGAGTTAACCAAATACATAAGTTCCTACATATTTCTTATATAGAATAATAACAGACTGAGAAAAGCTGCTAGAATTATCCTGATGTTACACAGAAAATGAGATGGATGAGTTTCATAGCTTTCCCTTTTACTTTTTCTCTTTTTTTGAGACAGGGTCTGAGATATGCAGTTCAGGATGGGCTTGAATTCATTATATAGCCCAGGCTGGCCTCAGTCTCCCTGGAATCCCCCCCCTCAGCCTCCCAAGTGCTGGGATTAAAGGTGTGTACCACCATGCCTGACAACTTTTCCTTTTAAAGAAAAGGATAAATGTCATTTGTTAAGGTGAGACAGACTGTTCTGCATCTTCTTCAGATGGAATATAACAGATGTTCTTATAATAAAAGAATGTAGTGTAAGCCTTGCAACTGAAGAATTATTTTTGAATACTGCTTAAAGAAAAGCAAATCAACTTAATCAGGCTTTATCCTGGAAAGCAAACCAAAATAAGAGTCGAGTCATTTAATTATACTTTCATCTGATATTCTGCCAAGGTTCACTTGACTTTTCTAGGTTCTAATCTGGAGGATTGAATTAGAAATTTTTTCTTCTGTCCTACTTTCTTACGCTTTCATAGTATGATCCACTTAGGAGAATTGACTATGCTTGGACAGCCCTGTATGTCAGAACCCATGACTTTATCTCCCTTCAGCCCTATGCAACTTCATGAGAGATCAGAATTATTCTAGAAATGAGACAACACTGTGACAGCAATTTCTCCCAATTGTTTTTTTAAAGACAGTTTTATTCCTTTCCTAGTAAGGAAAAAAGAGAGACCAGGCATGGGATTTATGTTCATTCACTTATTTACTCATTAATTCATGTGTTTATTCCTTTCATGCTGACAAACTAGAGAGCTGTGTTATCTAATACACTAGCCACTAGCCATATGTGGCTACTGATCACTAGCAATATGCTAGTTTCAGTTGAGATAAGTTGTAAGTATAAAATATACATTGAATTCCAAAGATTAACCCCCAAAAGTGTAAAATACTTCATTAATAACTTTATTATATTAATGACATGTTAAATGATAATTTGGATACATTGTGCTACATAAAATATTAAAATTAATTTCATTTGGTTTGTTGTTTTGTTTTGTTTTGCAATACTGGGGATTGAACTCAGAGCTTTCACACTGGACTACAACCCCAGCCCTTTTTTTATTTTTTAAGACAGGGTCTCACTAAGCTGCCAAGTTGCCCAAGCTAGGCTCATACTTGGGATTTTCCTTCCTCAGTCTCCGAGTTCTAAGATTACAGATGTGAACCACTATGCCCAGTTTATTTCCTGTGCTCTTGGAAAATCTTGAAATAGGTGGCTTACATTGATGACTCACAAATTCCTTTTGGACAGTACTGGATTAAAGTATGAGCCCTGTCTATCTTCAAGTTGCTTAGAACCTAACCCAAGAGACTGACATGCAAACAGCTGTTTGTAATAAATTGAGAGACTGCTGCTGGTCACAGAAAAAAAGGAAATAACTACCCTCTCTGACAATGAAATTGCAGTTTATGGAGAATAAGAAGCAAAGGAGAAAGGTTTCAGGGAGAGAACCTAGCAGTGTGCAGAAATATGAAAGTCATAAAAGGGTCAGTAGAAGGTATTCACTATGATGTGACTCTAGGAGGTAGTGGCTTGAGACCAGGGGGTAGATTCTGCTGAGGAAGCCAGACTGAGCCAGGAAGCCGACTTCTGGACAGCTGGATGAAGCTGTCCAAATAGTGTGGAAAGAATGACATCTCCCTTCCCCAGCCCAGGTACTAGCTGTAATAGCCATCAAACCAGCTAAAGTTCCCATGTGTTCTAGTTTGTTCCCTTTACCTTAGTTTTACTTCTAGGGCCCATTTAGAATCCCATTCATAAGCAGGTGAATGTAGCCCATAAGTAGCCCAGCCCTAGAGAGTTCACTTTGGGTCATTTTATTGCTCCAATTCCCCCAAAGATTTTAACATTGAGTTTTGACCCTTTCTCCTGTAGAGTTTCACAGTAGGCAACTCAACAGTTGATCATTAGGATGGAAATAACTAAATATAGTCCGAGAGGCTTAAAAGAATACGTGCAGGAGCAAATGAGGAGATGAAGACACAGTCCACACTGCTTCTGTATTATTTCTGTTCACTCACATTATCCTTTCCCTGTCAGCAGGTATGGGGGAAACTTGGCACTGAAGAGGATAGGATGATCTCTAAAGTCTCTTCCTGTTTTAGTGTTGAGTGGCAGTGTAGGGAGCAATCTTAGTACCTTAGCAGGAGAAGAATCCCATGGGCAGACCACTTTTAAAAACCTGATGCCAGTGACAGTGTGTCTTTCTTCCCAGGTGGTTGGACTTGTGGCAGCACTGTGCTGTATTGCGGACGGCGTCCTAATTTATCGGAAGCTTCTGTTTAATCCAAGTGGTCCTTAGCAGAAAAAAACCATTCAAGACAAAAAAGTTTTGTAATTTTATATTTCTTTCTAGTTGTTACTAAGTATTAAATGTTATTTCTTTATTCTTTCATATATTTTTTGTACTTCTCATTTTAATCTCAATATGGGAGCTAGAGGAAGAGATTTCCGAACAGCCTTCCTGTGGGGTTTGGGCACCTGCTCTCCTACATGGCCTCTGGAACCCCTTCCTCCCTGGCTGGCTGGTAGCTCCTAGGGGTAGGTTGCTGAGATTTTTGAGTTCCCAGGCTAGGCAGTGGCTGAGGTCATGCCCCTCACCCCACGTGGCATCAGAGGTGGCTGAACGGCTCAGCTGGTCCTCAGGGCTGAGAGAGCAGTGCACTAGGGCTCAGCGGCCAGCAGCCATGGGAGCCTGACACCAGCTGGGGAGGGCCCTGCCGCTGCCACAGTACTGGCTGGAATGGCAGTACTAGCCTGACATGGCCAAGCCTGGAGGTCCACCATGAATGTGCCAAAACATTCATGAAAGTGCCAAACAGGAGCAGCCAGGGATCTCGCAACACCAGAGGAGTCTTCTGGAGGTTTACAGTCCGAGCACTCTGTGGGTCCCATTCATATGGTACTTTCTGTGTGCTTTATGCCTTCTGCACGTTCAGTGTCAAGAACACAATGAGCACACTGCATTGTCAGGGACACCCACGGGATGTCCATAGCAGACACAGTGTATATACCAGTTTTCCAGGAACACAGATGAAAGCTGCCTTCCAAAACCATGCTGCGGGCAAGGTCCCATACAGATTCAGGGACAGCCTCAAGTCTTTCTTCTCACCCACTGGGATGTAAAGATCCTGAGAGTAGTCAGCACAGAGTAGATGCCCTGGCTGGGAGGATACAGGCTGGTGTGGCCTGGGGTACATTCCTGGAGATGCCACCTCAGGAAAGCTTCCATACTTCCTTTCAGTGCTCACTTTTGCTTTGCCTCCCCTCCACCTGCCCTTACCACACTCAACCCTAACCAAATTTGTCACCCTTCTCCATCTTTAATAGATTTGATCAAGAGCTAGCATTTGAAAGACCTATTAAATTGATAAATTGTTAAGCCACTGCCCGGGCAATGAGAGAAAAGGAAAAAAGACATTTATTCTATGTTGGAGGGTTAGGTAGAGGCATCTGTGACCTCATTTCAGATCAGTATTTTAAGACACTGAGGAAAGAGACTGGCAGGCCATCATTGTCATTAACAGAAGGAAATCCCCACTGTCGTCCTTTCTCTTTTTGCAATAACTTCTTCGGACGATGTGAAGTTATACAAACTCTAAGCTTGTAAAAGTCATAATTTTAGTTCTCTCTCAGAAAAAAAGTCTGCAAAACTCCTAGGAATCATACACACTATTTTTGGAATATCGAAACAAAATATTTTTGCCTACCAATAAGACTTTGACTTTTCTGGACTAGAGAATTTTATTTTAAAGACAGAAGAAAGGAGATATTGTAGGGTTTGTTTGTTTTTTTTAAATACATTGTACATTGTCACAAGGGAGTAAGTCAAACTGTTCAGGAAGGGGGAAGGAAGCCTGCTTCAGTCAAAGCACCCAGTAGGCATGCTCTGACTTACTCTCATTTTCATAGTTACAGGAACTGAGGTTAAATACCTTTCCCTGGCTACAAGTTTAGAACAAACTGGGACTCAAGCCCACCACATCCAAAGGAAGAACACCAGGAACTACAGATCAAATGCTTGGAAGATGGGGTGAGGGAAGATCAGACCTTGGTTCAAGAAGTTACAGAACGGGACAGAAATTAATTCAGAAAACAACTTTAAATTCTTTGAATTCAAGGGCCAGGGATTTAGCTCAGTGGTGCCACTGCCTGCCTCGCAAGCACAAGGTCCTGAGTTCGATCCTTGGAACCAAAAAAAATTTTATAAAATTCTTTGAATGCATTCCATAGTCAGTAAATATGGCACTCCCACTGGATTATGCCAAGCTTGAGCTCAGTGCTGGGGACAGAACCTCCTCCCCATGGGGGCATTCACACCAGCTGCGGGAAGACCTTACCCAGGAAGCAGTTCATTAAGCAGCCAGGGATGAACATGCAAAGCTGAAACATCAGGTGCTGTCGCCCGCTGGCTCCCATCTGCTGACTCGGCACCCACGCCTTGTACCGCCAGCGCTTTCTGGCCCAGGTCTCCATCAGCTCCTGGTGGACAGCGGCAGGGCAGTAGCCACCTGAACCCCCTAGACCCCACGGGCCTTCCTCCTCCAGCCGCTGCACTTTCCACTCGCCACCTGGCTAGTGCAAGTGGATTTTCTGAGTCTAAAACCTTTCCTCTCTTTTTTTTTTTTTTTTGTAACAGAGATTGAACTCAAGACTTTGCGCTTGTGAGGCAGGCACCGGAACCACTGAGCTAAATGCCTGGCCCCTCTCTTCCTTTTTGTTTGTGTTTGTTTTGGGGTTTAGCTTCCGTGCTGGAAATGGAACCCAGGACCTTGCTTTTGCTGCAAGCGACTACCACTGAGCTATACCCCCAGCCCTCCTCTCTTCTTTGTTTGTTTTGTTTTATTTTTTGGTACCGGGGATCGAACTCGGGACCTTGCACTTGCAAGGTAGGCGGCAGAACCACTGACCTAAATCCCTAGCCCACTCCTCTCTTCTTTTGATAGTGACAGACTCAGCACCGCCACCCCAACCTCAAGTCTGCCCCCTCCCAGCCGCTCCAGAGGCCTCGGGCTCAGGTTTCCTCAGAGCTCCAGTCCAGTATCTGGGCTTCTCCTCCTCCCAGATGGACCCCCAAACCCCTGGCAGGCTTCCCTGCCCTTGCAAACCCAGCCTGAGGTTCCCTCCACTCGGAGGCCTTCTCAGGACCCCACCTGCGCTGGGAGCGTAGCAGGGTCGTACCCTTCCAAGGTCCCTTCCTGCTGCTCGAAGGCCCCGGCAAGGCAGCCACTGGCTGCGAAATCCTTTCCTAGGAAGGGAAAAATGCGCCAAGAGGGCAGCGGACGGTGGGAGGGGAACAGGGGCCTCCAGCACATATCCTGCCCTGCCTGGAGTGGGGACAGGGTGGAGATCTCAACTGAGCGGCAGAGTAACACTGCTGAGCTGCTGAGCATGTGGTCTTCCCTCTCTGCCGAGTCCTGTTTCATCGAAGCGTTGGTGGTCACCAAGAAGATAAAGACACAGGAAAGGAGCCCTGGGAATGGAAGCTGAGCGTCCCGTGCCCCGGCGCTGAGCAGAGGTCCATAGCCACTCCGGGACTCTTGTGCACACCTGAGTCCGTGTGTGCTCACTGCACCATGCCACACCCGAGCTTGTACTCTGTCACTCACTCCGGAATACGTGTGGTCATAAAATCGGGGCTGTCGAGTCAGGGATATTTCTGCTCACTCGTGTTGCCCTTCCGTATACACAGTCCTGCATAACCCCAGGGACCTCCCGGCTGGACCCGACCTCGGGAGTGGCCAATATAGGCGTAGGGCTACATTGCAAGGCCGAACTAGGACCAGGAGGGGAGCTGCGCATGGAGGCTGAAAGCTCTGCGTGGACAGCAAGCAGTCTGGCCCAGGATGGGCAGAAGCGACCCACGCAGGTCCACGCGGCAAGACCTGCACGCGCCAGGAGTACGCAGGCGTTGGCATTGCCGGCCCATTGGCGGTTAGCTGAGCACGGTCTGTGAACAGGTCGGTAGACACCAGGCTCACTCATATGCCAGGCCTGCCCAGGGACCATAGACCGTGAGAAGCTGAGGATTCAGACCACCAATGGCTGATAAGGGGCAACCACCTCCCCCCAAACCCAGGGAGGAAAACAAGAATGACAAAAAGGAAGGGGAACAGCTCAAGGTGCAGCCCAAGGATGAAGTGGGTACAAGGAAGGGGTTGCGCTGCTACCGATGGGAACTCAAAGACAGCAACAAAGAGTTCTGGGTCCTCGGTCACGGCCCGGTCAAGTTCCTGAGTTTGGTAAGCTGGACTAATATTCCTTGGGGGAAAGAGGAGTCAGGCTGGGCAGAGGGTGTCTCTGAGAGATTCCCGAGGTCCTCAGAGAACCTCAAGGGTATGTTTCCATGCAGGGCTGCCTGACTGCAGCACTGTTCCTGTTCTGGTCAACCTTCAGCGTGCACCCCATCTTGATGCTCATCATCACCATGGAGATATCCATCTTCTGCTTCTTTATTGTGCTCTATACCCTTGCCCTCCAAAGATACATTTCCTTCATCATGTGGCCTGTTACTGTAAGTGAGGGTCCTGGGGAATAAACCTAGTGTGCTGTTCGAGTGGCTTGGCACCAGGAGAGTGAATGGGTAGAGAAACAGCCTCACCTCCCATTCTTCGTGCTCAGGGCTCAGGTGGGAATTAAGCAAGGGCAGATGGGAAGTGGAAGGGGACTTAGGCTGAAAAATCTTCCAAAAAACTCAGCTGTGCGTGGGAATGGGGGGACTCTCACTGGTGAGCTAGTCTTTTACTGTGGAAGAGCCCCTAAGGCTTTGCTTCCCTTGGAGGGAGGAAAGGTGTAACAACCAGAGCTGTTCCTCCTAATCTGTTTGCCAGCACACACTGGGGAGATCATTCCAGAATTCAAAGAAGAAAATTAGTCTCCCCTGAAATTAGTAAGACAAAATGAGAATTTTTTAAAACTCACCTGTAAAACAGCCCTTAGGCCTCCAACAAATATCCCTATAAAGGATGTTTGGTTCAGAAGGATGTTAGGCCTGAAGTAGTCCTACAGCAAAATGAAACAGAACTAGGCAAGTTACCCAGCCACTGTCAGCCTTTGTTTCCTCATCTGAGCAAGAGGACAGTAATAATCCCTTGAGGGACCGATTAAATGTAAAGTGCTTGATGTTGTGCCTTAGAACTGATAAACTCTAATCCTTTCACATCACTTGTGTAATCACAGAGCAGATCCAACTCTTAGCCAACTGATAAA